TAATAGTTCGTGCCAATAGGTTCTCTCCCCCCCCCCCCCCTTATGCTAGGGGGTTTTCGGCCACAGATAGAATGTCTGAGCCCTATACAGCTTCGCTGCAAAAGGAAAACATAGTTCCTTAAATTTTGTAGTTCACCGTCGAACGCACTTTCTGACTCTTTCCTGGAAACAGCTCTCCATATCTGGGCAACCCAATAACAATAATATCACTACCGATAGTAAGTGTGGAAGCACTAGGACAATGCTCTTATTCCAGCATAGAGAGAGAGAAAGAGAGAAGGAGGTATTGGAGAAGGTTGATTTTATAGGGCTAGCTAAGTGATGTTGTGTTACACCGAGCAGTGTAATTGATCATGAAGTTAAAGAACCATCTCTTTCTCCTTGAAGTCATCGTAGGAAAATGCATTTAGGGTAATGTGAGTCTTTAGCATTGATGCATTATTGTACATCACAATGTTTGTCTGCCATGTTGACTGATAACCACATTGATGCATTTAGAACATTACTTGATAAAGTACAACTTCATTGAAGCAGCATTCTGTTTACTTGCAACAAAAACAATCACTGAACAAGTCATTCCAGAATGCTCAGCTGCATAATGCCCTTATTTTTGTATCATCGAGTGAAATACTAAGTGTTCCTAAGATGACTGACTCCATAATAACGTTGCGAGAAGGAGACCGACTCGGAGGTCTCCTTCTTCGATTAGCTCGCGCCAGTCTATCTGCTGTTATGACCGTCATCAGTAGGTGCCATGCTGTCGCTGAGAAGCGTAGCCGGGCAGCGGTCCCACGCCTGGAACCCCAGTTCTCTCGGAACCAGCGTCCAGAGCTGACGGGGGAGCGGCGCTATTTTAATCCTCAAACAAGTAGCCGACTGGCCGGCTGCCTATGCCTGCTTGGTATTGTCCCTGCTAGCCGGAGGATGAGCCGTCGTGTCGCCACGACGCCGTAAGCCATTCCATAGAGGACAACAAAGACAGCGTCTTCCTTGGAAGAAACTGCGGGCGCCGCCACAAATTGCTGTGCTAACTGAGCGGACAGATCGGCGGACCGTTTGATGTATGCTGTCAGGAGCTTGGGACCCCTCGACCAGCGGCACACACACGACGAGGAAGAGCCCCTCTGGCACCACCTTGCAGTGCAGTGATCATGACTCAATATTAGATGTTCACGTGGGCCGTGCATGCTCGTACTCCTCGCCGGTTGTGTGTGTGTGATTGGTGTTCCACTCAAGAAGGAGGAGCCTGACAGGGCTTATAACGACGCCGCAGAGTGCGGGACGTTGCTCTGAACCATGTAACAGTTCAACCACCACGTTCGTGGTTTGTGAACTCCTAACCTTTCTATGCTGTAAATAAGTGTATATAGTTCCATAAACCTGTTTGTTTTTCGTATCCCCATCTTGTCAGCGTTCGTTTCCTCAACCTGAAGCTACACCACGCTACCACAAGAGACCAGGCAGCCCCCGATCCGCAACATCTGGTGATCAGCGCTGGGATTCGAAGCAACCACAGGTGAACAGCACCGGCATCCACAACAACTGGTGGCAGCGGTGCGATACGACTCAGAACCGAGATCCGCAACACTGCGTTGTCTTCTTCAACACCATGCACTGGCATGTAGCATGACTCCCGGCAGCGAAGGCACCGTCCCAGTGCTTTAAGAGTAGTTATCTAACGTATTCTTGTAGGGCTTGATCCGCGAGATGTGTACAATATCACTGGACCGCATAGCAGATGATGATGGGTAGATGGGGCTGATCTCGTAGGTGACAGGTGTAACTTGACGCAATATACGAAAGAGTCCCGTGTAATGAGACAGAAGTTTTTCTGATAGGCCCAGCCGACGATGAGGGTACCAGAGTAAAACGAGGGTACCAAGAGCGAAATGTACGTCTCTATGTTCCGCATCGTACCGACTTCATTGGTTGCTTTGCGACGCCATCAGCCGAGCGTGAGCGAGCTGAGAGGCATGATCGGCTCGCGCAATCGCGGCGGGGGCATACTCACTGGTGGACAAGGTGTGAGCTGAGATGACTGTGTCCAGTGGTAAAGTCGGCTATCTTCCGTACAATCCTCTGAGCAGGGAGTCCGTCATTCGTTCGAAGGTGGCTGGAGCATTACAAAGGCCGAAGGGCATCACAATTGAACTGATATAGGCCATCGGGGGTGATGAATGCCGTCTTTTCACGGTCCATTTCAATCTACTTCTATCTGCCTGTAGCCAGAACAAAGGTCTATGGAGGAAAAATAGTGGCACACATAGAGGCAATCAAGCGCATCATCTATTCGTGGCAGAGGGTACACGTCTTTTTTGGTAATTTTGTTGAGGTGTCGATAATCAATGCAGAAACGCCATGCACCGTCTTTCTTGCAGACTAGCACTACAGGAGAAGCCCAGGACTGCAGGATGGCTCAATGATGTCCTTGGCGAGCATTTTGTCGACCTCACTTTGGATAATGTGACGCTCGGCCGCCGACACCCGATATGGACACCTATGAATAGGATGCTCATTACCAGTGTTTGTGCGGTGGGTCATATCAGTAGCTTTCCCCAACATGACGGCCGCTGAGGTCAAAAACTTGATGTAGGACAACAGAACCCAGTGGAGCTCATCAGTCTGCTGCGGCGTTAAGCTGGAAGCGATCATCGGTGTAATAGCGCTGTTGGAGCAAGTAGCAGATTGATGTTGAGCGTGGGGGTCAGAAAGAGCGGCTATCGTGAAAACATCTACCGCATTGTCTTCTAAGGTGCAGAGCAACAGCAAAGAGATCCCTTGTGGCAGCACTTGAGGTGTCAAGCTAAAGTTGACAACTGGGAGACATGTAGAATTTCCTGCGATGGACGGAATGGTGTGCGATAATGGAATACCGAGTCGACAACTCATTTTTCGCAGCTTCACGTCGACCAGAGGTGTTGCCAAAAAGCTCATGGATCTTTTCCTTGAAGCTGTCCCAGCTTGTTATGTCATGCTCGTGGTTGTCAAACCAACAAGAGGGGTTCTGTCGGGATAAAAGATGACATTTGCGAGCATAAGTGGGATCCCACCTGTAAGTGGCGCTGACACGTTCGTAGAGGTGTAGCCACTGGTCGACGTTGCTACCCTCGCGTTCGAGAACACGCCATGGTCTTTGAGCACGGACAGCGTCACGAAAGTTGTTGCGGGCGCTGGGTTGACAGGAGGGCAGAAGGGCGGGCGACTGGAGAGGGTGTAGCCGAGTCTTGAGTGGTCATGTTGAAAGCCACGAGAGAGCGTCCGCTTCAAAGTTTCGTGGCAAGGACGGGGACCGCACAACTCCACCAAATATGTTACGAGAAGGAGACCGACTCGGAGGGGTAGTCACTGATGTATTTACAGCCGGTTTAAGCGAGCTGTGCCAGCCACACATATTAGCTCGCTCCAGTCTATCTGCTTTGTCTTCTTCAACTCCATGCACTGGCTTGTAGCAATATGTTTAATGAATGAAAATAATTCTAATCCTTTCACAAGAGCTTCAAAATATTTTTTCATGTTCTTAAATGTGAATGCAACTATAGCTGCTCCTCTGTACTTTATGATGTGCGTTTACCTGTACCAGAGTGCTCCCAAATGCAAAATTACTTGCTTCAAAGTGCTCCATGCGGGACATTTTTCTGTGACAAAATTTGCTCCAAAATCAGAAGACCTTGGTAGGATCAGTGAAACAGGCATGTGAGTGATGACGATCATGTGCCAGTGTTTGTGGAATATGGTAGCATACATCAATCAGCAGTGGTGCTAATTTAGTGCTAGCACCCATTCAAAAGAAAAAAATGAATTGGCCTTTGGTGTTTTCTAGAGAGAACACAGAACTATGCAAGCTCGCTCATAAACCTATATATTGAAGCACTCAAGCGCATTTCTATATAATGAGAAACACCACAGTTTGCAACACGTGTGCTGTTCCACTCATTGCCATAACAGCAGCTTTGCGTCTCATAATATATTTATACCTCTTGATGTTTATAAAATAAAGTACAGATGACTTCATAGCTTAAAGATTGCAGCTTTTAAGAAATATGGTGTACTATTTGACGAGATTACCTCACATAGTGATCTCACTTTTCTCTCACATACTACTTAGCCCTCTGAGCAGAAGCCATGAAGTGCTTTTTTTTAAAACTTCTGTGGCAATTTAAAGATATAGTTTCTGCCTAATGAAAAGCAACATAAATAAGATATTCAGAATAATTCATTGTCCTTTCCTTTTTGCTGAAATCTTGTGACACGTGCCGAATGATTGTTGGTCCCTTTAGTATAGTGTTGTCTCAAGTTATACTTGAACATTAATTCGCCTCTGTGTACTGCTCAGCAAGTTAATTGGTACCCATAACGATATGGTACAATGGGGCAGACAATTAGGCATAAACTGGAAACACTTGTGTGTATAGTGTAGTTGGCCGAGCCCATTTGTCTGTAGCACTTTGGTATCAAATCATTACGCTTTGTAGTGTGATGTCACGAAGCTAAAATTTAGAGCGAAGCACGAATTTTTTATGTATTTATTAACTAATAGCCTCAAAGCACAAGAATGTGACAGAGTGAAATGCTAATATAAGTAAAAAGTTTTACTGACACTTCGTTAAATTTTTCTTTGCTTACTGACGGGGCTGAATTATCATACACGCTTTTTCTTTACTTAGACATAGGAGTAAACATTCATGTTTTTGTACTTTATCTGAGGATTTTGTTTCCATGGTGCTCTTTAGCTTTTAAGAATAGCCATACTAAAGTATGCTGAAATTAGTAATGTTGATATTGCTTTCGATGCATTAGTCAGCTGCATTTACAGTGTTTTTTTGTAATATGGATTGCCACCTTTCTTAATTTCTTCTATTATGTTGAGCAGTGAGTATATTACCTAAGTTCCTCCATAGTAAACATGAGTACAGTACCGCTCTTGCTGGGAAAGTGTTATAGTATTTCTTTAGACTGTTTTTCCGCAGCTTACACTGACTCTCTTGTTGTTGTGTTTCCAGGGGCAAGTGGCTTTAATGAGTAGCTATGCTGCAGCTTGAAGCTTTCAAAGGAAACTGCATTAACACTTCTGTTCAGCATTATTTCATTCCTATAACTTCAGTTACATTGCCTCAACATTCGAAGACTGACTGAATTTATGTTTAATAAATGTGTTTGAAAACAATATTCTATACGCTGCAATAAATCTTGTAGATCTTATTGATTCTGCATAAGCATGCCGGTTGAACAGAAGCTTGCATGTGATGATAATATCAAGATGTTTGGGACGCACATGCCAAACATTGCTAAAATTTTGTGAATGAGAGTGTTTTCCCATGCACTTCTCATTCTTGCTGCATGGAGTTGGTCTATTAGATATAGACCAGCAGACCCACTGCAGTCTTTCTCATTGCTGCTGTGCTATACATTATAGAAAGTATCAAAGATGTGATGTTACTAATTGCTGTTGTCATATAATATAATCACTACAGTAATCAGTGGGAATGGAGCCTCGCACTATTGATGCTATCTGTAATGTATTGCATGGGCAGTGAGCAAAATTACAGTGTGGCCGCAGGTGTGACACACCAACATGCAGAGAGGCTGCGAAGTGCACAGAAAATATTTTCATTTACTAAACGACAATGTCTATGTATGACTATTACATGTCCACAGTGTCCTTGTACACCGTACGTACAACCTAACATGGTGGAGCTTTTTATAGTTGCAGGTACATGTAACATTGACAATTTGGATTTCTATGGATATCTAAGAGACGTTAGTAACTTCCACGAACAATTTAGCCTAAATGTATGCGCGCTATTTGTGTTTCACTAGGTATTCAGGGTCAACTAATATTGGAACTTTGCCCTTTCGATCAGAATGTTTGAACATTGTTATTAGTCTAGTTAATATATCAGGCATTCAAGTTTGACATTGTTATATGAGACCAATTGGGGAACATTGCATCAGTGCTTTATAAGAAAACTCCAGTTGGGCCTCATTACATGCCCAATTGATATCTGTCACATCTCGTGCCCCTTTCAACAGATATGTATGAGGGGGTCAGGTTGATTACCTGATCAATCGATCATTTCATGATAATATTTATTGATATGAACTCCACACAGAGTGATTATTATGGTAATTCAAACAAATTACACAAATTAGATTTGCTGATATACCATGGTTTGAATTGAACACCACAGAACTTGGTAAGGCTAAGAAATTGGTAAAGATAATAACGCATCAAAATATATATTTACAATTACACAATAGCTTTCAAGATAAGATATTCTTGTACTGTAAAGATCTCTGAAATGTAGCATTGGTTTCATCTTTGCATTATAGACTGCTACAAAAACTACCTGTTTGTTGTCAAGACCTGGTACATGTTACTAGGCCAAAATTGCCAGCATGGTGAGCATGATTTGCATTTAGTGAAATGAATGTGGCATCCATGGAGCAATTTTTCATTTTGTGTATTTGTCCACAGGTAATCTTTATTAACGTGAAGTTCATGCAATTCAACAACATGGTTTCTGGTATCGTGATGGTGAAACATCTCAAAGCTTTCATCTCTAATGAGATTAACAAGTCGGACCCTTAGTGGCAATGTAATTGTAAAGTGCCTAGAATATATTTTCTTTGCACAATAGAAATAAATTGCCCTGACCCAGAGTTGTTAGTTCCACTCGTAATGAGCGAATTTGGGCTTTCTTTTTCACCGAGTCCCTTGTAGAATTCTTCACTTGATTGTCGCATTTATTTAGAGTTACTTGCAGCTTTCCAGCAAATATTATCATTTGAGTGATCATCAAATTAAATATTGCAATTGTCATATTATACATGCACTGGTAAACATACATTCCAACAAATGAAGACAACGTGGCATTTCACGCCCCACTATAGTCAAATTTCTCAGACAGTACACATCTAATGAAAAGTAGCTCCATTATATTTTTCACTTGCTTCATCTCACTGGATTCCTGCATTACAGCAAAGCTGCTTTTTACGCTTTTCTACAGTCGCAAATGTACTGATTAAAAAAAACAGCAGTTCCAACGTGGAGATGATAGATGTGGCAGAGATGTGGGCTCCATTAACACCGTTTTGGACCCGAAAATAAATTATAGAATTGCCGTGCCTAAGGTTCTCAATGCAGTGAGTCAACTAATGAATGTTCTGAGCTTCTCCTAGAGTTATTTGCTTTGAGCTCACACATCTTCAACCCTCTACATCTGGAGTTATTTTGAAAAAGTTATATCATACATGATACTTTTTAGTGCTTGATTGGATCGATGCATTGACCAAATGTTGAAAATGCACTTGGATGAATATATTCATTTCATTGACACACTTTTTTTAAATTTCAAAGACAATTAGCTTTACGACCCTATGATTGTCCGAAATGCAACTTCTGTGGCCTGCGGATTGTGATGAAATTGACTTTTACGCATAATAACGCGTAATGTGTGTGTTTGTGTGTGTGTGTGCGTGTACGCACACACATGCACATGGGTGGGTCCCTCTCAACACAGGGTGGTGCAACTTTCCAGAGTACTTCACTTCGGTGTCCCTCACAATCATATTGCGGTTGAGGGACACAAAACCTAAAAAATCATTATAGATCTAGACACCGAAATTTTCTAATTGGTTTCTCAAAACACAATTGGTAATTTCCAACCTGTCTGGGTAACTTATGTTGGTCTGGGTTAGTGTTATATACTGGTACCCCAGATGTAGTTTACCACCAAACTAGACTTAAAACAGCGCAGCACATTAGCAAAAGTGACAAAAATGGGCTCAGCATGTTTTTTTCTGCCAAAACACATAAGGTTGACATGCCCTTCTGTGTCATTGTGACAGAAAGTGGTACGTGGCAAAAGCAACTCGGCTTGTTTATTCAGACCCATCTAATGTGTCTAAAAATTGATGACCCATTTGTGATCAAAAACTCGCAGGCTCTGATAGAATTTTTCAAACAGTCAAATCAATCTAATCTTTTCGGTTTTTCAATTGACATAAAGGACCTATACTACTCTCTGCCTCACGATGAGGTATTAGAATGTATAAGGGATAACATAGAAATTTTCGGGGAATCGAACTTCCAATTAAAAACTGGCATTAGTTCGCGAAATTTTCTTGACCTGGTTTTGCTGTACCTTACGTCTACTTTCGTTCAATGGAATGATTGCATTTATCCGCAGAAAAAGGGGTGTTTCAATTGGTTCATGCATAGCACCTCTCCTCAGTGATGTTCTGATGGCGAAAATGGGCAAAAAACTGCACGAAAAGTTAGAAGGCTCGCATTTCGTCAAAATATTCAGATACGTGGATGATTTCTTGGTTCTTCTAAATTGTAATTCTTCTATGTTTCACTCGTTTGCGACTCAAACTATAGGTGTGTTCGAAGATTGTTTAAAGCATCTTGTGTTGACACATGAAATGCCCGATAATGACAAGTTACGCTTTTTGGATTTAAATCTGGTTTTTAGCTCACAGCACATCTAGTGGTGTTATGAACCACATGCGCAGAGACGTCTACTTCCCTTTTCTTCCGCTCACACTAAGATAGTTAAGCGAGGCATAGCACGAACCTGCCTTGAGAATGCTTTAAATAGGTCGTGCGCCCACAATATCTCTGCGAGCTTCAAAGCTCAAGTTTCCCGGCTTAAGGCTTCAGGTTTCCCCGAGGCGTTTATCGCGTCTGTTGCTGAGACGATCCTGCGGACTAATAAGGCAGAACAGAGGAAGCGACAGAATCTGAGCAACACGAATACGGAACGTGAAAGGAGAGCCGTGATTCCATACATACACCAGATATCACACAGGCTCAAAAAAAAATTGGAAAACGTGTTGGAGTTCGTGTCCTGTTCTCGGCACCGTTCAAATTAATCAGCCTCACCAAATCTACAAACCCCCTGAAAACGCAATCATCAACGGAATGCAGAGTTCAACATCGAAACAGGTATGCGGCCTGCTCCCGGGAAGTTGTCTATAGGACCCCCCTTTCATGCGGTGCTTGTTATGTCGGAACGACCGGAAGGTGTCTGAACGATCGGCTGAGAGAACACGCGAACAATATTAGAAACGGGAAAGATGGTTTTCTTGCTCAGCACTGCACTGAGTGCAATTGTGTTCCCCTCTTCAAGGACACAGCGACGCTGTACAAACACAGAGATGAAAGCACCCGAGTCATTGTTGAGGCCGCGCAGATGGCACGCGAACAGGTGCCTTGTATTAGCAAGCCCTCCGTGGCTTTGTCCGAGAAGGAACGCAGGTTCCTCGAAGGTTTCGGTGCGGGCAGGTAGTTATATTATCTTTATTTTTCTGTTTCGTTTTCTTCTAGATTTTTCTTTGCTGTTTTTCAGTGTTTTTGTTTTTGCGTTGTTTGTTTTTGTTTTTTTTACTCATGTTCTGCTCTTTGTGCCATATGGTTTTTATCACATGGTTACTGTCTCCTCTATATATTTTCCTGCTCTGCACAATAAACTCAGTTGAAAGTTAGCGCTCGTGTCTTTCATGTCCTTCTTGTCTCTGTGTCGTCGTTTTTGTTCTCGCGCTATAACTATCGTCATGCCATACCAACTAGCCCAAGCTGCCACACTTCTAAGTCACCCAACTTTGTATGGGCACGATTGTCCGTGGTGTCACGACATTTACATTAATGACATCGCTGATTGCGCAGAAGAAGGAGTAAAGTTACGGCTCTTCGCCGATGACTTGGTTATTTACACTGCGTACAGAGAGTCGATGATCAACTCTAATTGAACAATAAACTTAACAAGATAGCTCATTGGTGTGACAGATGGAGCATGGAAATTAATGTTAAGAAAACTACATGCATGATTATAAGACATAAAAAGACAATTCTTAGTTTCAAATACAGGCTAATGGGTAACGATTTAGTAGTGACAGGTTCAGTTAAATATCTGGGCGGGACCTGTACAAGAGACATGAAGACCAATATTCACATTAAAAAGATGTGCACAAAGGCTTTCAGAACATTAGGATTCTTGCGAAGAAAACTGTCTTTAGCTCCATCAAATGTGAAATCAACCGCATATAAAAATAGTAGTGAGGCCGCTGATTGAGTATGGTAATATTGTGTGGAACACAGACCAGAAAAAACTTATACAAAAACTAGAAAGTATAGAAAATAAAGCATTAGGATTTATATATTCGAAGT